GTACTTGTGTTTGTGTACAGTACTTGTGTTTGGTACAGTACTTGTGTTTTGTACAGTACTTGTGTTTCTAACAGTACTTGTGTTTGGTACAGTACTTGTGTTTGTGTACAGTACTTGTGTTTGGTACAGTACTTGTGTTTGGTACAACAGTACTTGTGTTTGGTACAGTACTTGTGTTTTGTACAGTACTTGTGTTGGTACAGTACTTGTGTTTGTACAGTACTTGTGTTTGGTACAGTACTTGTGTTTTGTACAGTACTTGTGTTTGGTACAGTACTTGTGTTTGGTACAGTACTTGTGTTTGGTACAGTACTTGTGTTTCGTACAGTACTTGTGTTTAGTACAGTACTTGTGTTTGTTACAGTTTGTGTTTGGTACAGTACTTTGGTTTGGTAGTACTTGTGTTTGTACTTGTGTTTCTACAGTACTTGTGTTTGGTACAGTACTTGTGTTTGGTACAGTACTTGTGTTTGGTACAGTACTTGTGTTTCTTACAGTACTTGTGTTTCGTACAGTACTTGTGTTTCTTACAGTACTTGTGTTTGGTACAGTACTTGTGTTTGGTACAGTACTTGTGTTTGGTACAGTACTTGTGTTTCTTACAGTACTTGTGTTCGGTACAGTACTTGTGTTTGGTACTTGTGTTTTTACAGTACTTGTGTTTCTTACAGTACTTGTGTTCGGTACAGTACTTGTGTTTGGTACATACTTGTGTTTCTTACAGTACTTGTACAGTACTTGTGTTCTACAGTACTTGTGTTTGGTACAGTACTTGTGTTTGGTACAGTACTTGTGTTTCTTACAGTACTTGTGTTTGGTACAGTACTTGTGTTTCTTACAGTACTTGTGTTTGGTACAGTACTTGTGTTTCTTACAGTACTTGTGTTTGGTACAGTACTTGTGCTTTGTACAGTACTTGTGTTTGGTACAGTACTTGTGTTTGTACAGTACTTGTGTTTGGTACAGTACTTGTGTTTGTACAGTACTTGTGTTTGGTACAGTACTTGTGTTTGGTACAGTACTTGTGTTTTTTACAGTACTTGTGTTTGGTACAGTACTTGTGTTTGGTACAGTACTTGTGTTTTGTACAGTACTTGTGTTTTGTACAGTACTTGTGTTTCGTACAGTACTTGTGTTTCGTACAGTACTTGTGTTTTTTACAGTACTTGTGTTTCTAACAGTACTTGTGTTTGGTACAGTACTTGTGTTTGGTACAGTACTTGTGTTTTGTACAGTACTTGTGTTTCTAACAGTACTTGTGTTTGGTACAGTACTTGTGTTTTGTACAGTACTTGTGTTTCTTACAGTACTTGTGTACAGTACTTGTGTTTGGTACAGTACTTGTGTTTCGTACAGTACTTGTGTTTGGTACAGTACTTGTGTTTCTTACAGTACTTGTGTTTCGTACAGTACTTGTGTTTGGTACAGTACTTGTGTTTCGTACAGTACTTGTGTTTGGTACAGTACTTGTGTTTCTTACAGTACTTGTGTTCCGTACAGTACTTGTGTTTCTTACAGTACTTGTGTTTGGTACAGTACTTGTGTTTGTACAGTTGTGTTCTTACAGTACTTGTGTTTGTTACAGTACTTGTGTTTACTTGTGTTTTGGTACAGTACTTGTGTTTCGGTACAGTACTTGTGTTTGGTACAGTACTTGTGTTTCTTACAGTACTTGTGTTTCTTACAGTACTTGTGTTTGGTACAGTACTTGTGTTTCTTACAGTACTTGTGTTTCGTACAGTACTTGTGTTTCTTACAGTACTTGTGTTTGGTACAGTACTTGTGTTTCTTACAGTACTTGTGTTTCTTACAGTACTTGTGTTTGTGTTTCTACTTGTGTTTCTTACAGTACTTGTGTTTGGTACAGTACTTGTGTTTGGTACAGTACTTGTGTTTCTTACAGTACTTGTGTTTGGTACAGTACAGTACATTGTGTTTGGTACAGTACTTGTGTTTCTTACAGTACTTGTGTTTGGTACAGTACTTGTGTTTCTTACAGTACTTGTGTTTGGTACAGTACTTGTGTTTGGTACAGTACTTGTGTTTCGTACAGTACTTGTGTTTGGTACAGTACTTGTGTTTGGTACAGTACTTGTGTTTCTTACAGTACTTGTGTTTGGTACAGTACTTGTGTTTGGTACAGTACTTGTGTTTACAGTACTTGTACAGTACTTGTGTTTGTACTTGTACTTACAGTACTTGTGTTTGGTACAGTACTTGTGTTTGGTACAGTACTTGTGTTTGGTACAAGTACTTGTGTTTACAGTACTTGTGTTTGTACAGTACTTGTGTTTTGGTACAGTACTTGTGTTTGGTACAGTACTTGTGTTTTGGTACAGTACTTGTGTTTCGTACAGTACTTGTACTTTGTGTTTTCTTACAGTACTTGTGTTTGGTACAGTACTTGTGTTTGGTACAGTACTTGTGTTCAGTACAGTACTTGTGTTTGTTACAGTACTTGTGTTTGTACAGTACTTGTGTTTGGTACAGTACTTGTGTTTGGTACAGTACTTGTGTTTTACAGTACTTGTGTTTGGTACAGTACTTGTGTTTTGTACAGTACTTGCGTTTGGTACAGTACTTGTGTTTTGTACAGTACTTGTGTTTGGTACAGTACTTGTGTTTGGTACAGTACTTGTGTTTCGTACAGTACTTGTGTTTTGTACAGTACAGTACTTGTGTTTTGGTACAGTACTTGTGTTTGGTACAGTACTTGTGTTTGGTACAGTACTTGTGTTTCGTACAGTACTTGTGTTTCTTACAGTACTTGTGTTTTGGTACAGTACTTGTGTTTGGTACAGTACTTGTACAGTTTGGTACAGTACTTGTGTTTGTAACAGTACTTGTGTTTGTACAGTACTTGTGTTTGGTACACTAGTACTTGTGTTTGGTACAGTACTTGTGTTTGTACAGTACTTGTGTTTGTACAGTACTTGTGTTTGGTACAGTACTTGTGTTTTGTACAGTACTTGCGTTTTGGTACAGTACTTGTTTGTACAGTACTTGTGTTTCGTACAGTACTTGTGTTTTGTACAGTACTTGTGTTTGGTACAGTACTTGTGTTTGGTACAGTACTTGTGTTTTGTACAGTACTTGTGTTTTGGTACAGTACTTGCGTTTGGTACAGTACTTGTGTTTCTTACAGTACTTGCGTTTGGTACAGTACTTGCGTTTGGTACAGTACTTGTGTTTGGTACAGTACTTGTGTTTGGTACAGTACTTGTGTTTGGTACAGTACTTGTGTTCTGTACAGTACTTGTGTTGTTGTCACTTTTGACCTCACAGAAATATGAAAATGCTGACGAAAAGGTTATTTCAGCCTCGACAATTCAAGGTGACACAAAAATGCAGCCTCAGCGTCTTTCTGACTGAATTTAGACCAAACCAATCAGATCAGACCGGCGCCGACAGGAACTGAAGTGACAGGACCGGACAGGAGCAGAGGTGACAGGAGCAGAGGGGACAGTATGTGTAGATTTCAATACCGTAAAACTCATTTTCTCTACTACAATCATAAAACAGAATGACATTTTCAGTAATTATTGTCCTGATCAAAACAATGTAAAACTTTTCAGGAATGGTCCAAAAGTGTCAGACTGAAGTGTTTTGTACTTTTAAAAGAGTTTCAGTACTGTTTTAGTGCTGATGAGTATCTGGGTGTCCATCCGACAAACTTTTCTCAAGGACTTGGGCTGAACTATTTGAGAAAAATGTGATTTTTCTGACTTTTAAAAGTAGGATTCCGTTCAAAAGATTATATTTGAAACATGTCCAGAAGAATTTATTAAAAGACTGAAATCTGACCTGACAAACTAATACGATCATAGCAAAAGAAAACTAAATTTGCTCAACTTGACAAAGGTTTGAAGTGAAGGCTTCTTGCCCGTGGACACCAGCACACGTGTTTGTTTTCAGTTTCTGGTGTTAGTTAAAGGTTGTATAGAGGATTTTTTAAGGGAAGACAAATACACCGACAGTCCTTTTTCAAATGTTGTGCGTGCGTGACACCGTCTTCTTCCTTCACAGCCTCAGTAGAAACATCTCCTCCTGCCTCTTTACTCTAGAAATCATGCTTGTTTACATTCAGTGCGCGTTCAGAATTACTGTTGAAGTGACCCGTCTGGAGGTAATTTAGCGACCGACGTCCGTTTTTAAACCCTTCGTCTGCTTCAGTCGCGTCATCGCTGGAAAGAATCTCCAAGAATCACCTCAGTTTGTCTTCGCTCCTTTTCCCCGTCTCTTCGTCTTTCAGCGACCTCAAAAACGGACTTTCTTTTGCGGCGAACCGGTCGTGGATTCTCGTCCGCCATCGCAGCAAACTTTGTGCGAACTGCAAGGAAGCGACAGTTAGAAAAAGTCTCTAAGAACCGCTGCATAAACCACGTAATCCCCACGCGCCGGAGAGTCAGTTGCACTAGAGAGTTTGATTGACAATCTAACAGCCAATAGAAAATGAGGGAGCCCTGTTATCTATTGGCTTTGATCATTTTTTTTGATCATCATAATTACAAGGCTGCTACATCTCTGTAATTGTATTTTGAACTTTCAATGACAATTTCAAACAAAAAAAAAATCCTCCATACAACCTTTAAGTCTTTTGAACCACACCACTTCACTGTTTTTGAGTCATATTTTGCAGAATCGTTCAGGCCCCTACAAGAATTACATTTCAGAACATGTTTGTAAAGATCTAAACTATGCGGTCAACAGCTTTTATGACGGGAGATTCTGTTGTTTGTGGAGAAAATTATAGAACTTAAACAATCGCAGCTTTTGTGATTTGGTAATTGCATCCATTTAAGTTATATTTCTGTTTCGATTACTGTTAATCTTGCAGCTTTTTTGTGAACTCAGTCGTCAGTGGGTAATGAAAAGGTTGAGCTTGTGTCGTCCCTTTGGTCTGAAATCAAAGTGCGTCTGGTGTTGTGTCACAGCGAGTCCTGCTTTCTGTTCTGTGTTTCTTACGTATCTGATCTGACAGTATCCTCTCCTCTTTGCAGCCCTGTCCACCCCCGCACCTGTCGACGCGGCGCCTGACGAGGACCCCTGTCGCCGGACGTCTTGCGGCAGGGGGCGGGAGTGCGTGGTGCTGCCGGAGACCGGGCGTGGTGAGTGCGTGTGTCAGGAGCGCTGCCGGCCGTCCTTCGTCCCCGTGTGTGGATCAGACGGGAGCTTTTATGAGAACCACTGTGAGGTTTACCGCACGGCCTGTCTGCAGAGGAGGAGGATCTACGCCGTGCACAGCAAAGACTGCTTCTTCACAGGTACGAGCTGAAGGCTGGACTTCAACCGTTTAAACTGAAACACACTGAAACACACTGAAACACACTGTTCCACTGCTTCTCCTGAAACACACACGTTCTCTTTGTGTTACAGCCAAGAGCTCTGCAGTGTTCAGATTTAGTCATGATTTAGTCATGACTTATTTAGTTCTGAGGCTTTAAGTGTGGGCTGTGTCAGATCTGCACGCTGAGCTCACTGGGAACAGGACTGATGTGACTGATGTGTTCATAGTTGGTGTGGTAGACTTTTTGTGAGGTTTGGAGAGATCATAAATGCATTTGTTGAGTAGCAATGTATGTAAGGTTGAAAACAGGCCAGGTGCTAGTTCAGAATTCCCCAACCTGAATGTGGGAGGAGCTGACCTAAATATGGGCCCCACAGCACACTGACTGTGGCCCCCATAAAGTGCAGTGGAACATGGATTCTGCCATTGAGGAAAGGTTTTTGAATATGTTTTGTCACTCATTCTGAGAGGCTTCTTTAGTTCTGACAGGGTTCTGTAAGGCTGCGTTCAGACTGCAGCCTGAAGTGACCCAAATCCGATTTTTTGGCCTCTATGTGACCTGTATCTGATCTTTTAATGACAGTCTGAACGGCACAGATCTGATTTTTTCAAATGTGACCCAGGACACTTGGATATGTGCTCCTGAAACTGATACATATCTGATCTTTTGACATGTGACTTCAGTGTGAACGGCCAAAGTGCATTCATCCACCTACACGTTATCAACAAGACACAAACGTCACTATTCTGCGCTGAAGTAGGTGAAAATTGTTAATGAACTCTGTGTCACTGAAGTGAAGCACATCACCACTCACCACTCTTGGCTCCGTCTCCACATCCACACGTTCCTTTCAACGGACGTCGCTGCCGCTGTCCCACAAAACACCACGGCCAAAAAACCTCGTCCTTCTCCTTCTCAATCTCCTCCTTAAAACAAGTAAGTTGTTCATGTTCTGGCTCTGGTACGAGAGGAACTTTAAAATCTCCAGGTGCTCGATGCTGCGTCCATGTTTGGACAACTTCTGTAAACACAGAGACGCTCACTGCGGTTGACGTCGTCGTGTCTCCAGTGTCACATGTGGGACACGTTCGGACCGTTTACTGTTCACACAGCGGATCGAATACAAGTCACATTTAATTGGAAATGTGAACGACCTCGCAAAAACATCAGATTTCACAAAAAAATCGGAATTGAGGGTTAAGCCCTGCAGTCTGAACGTAGCCTAAGTCACACTTTATGTCTCTGAAGGGAAGAGCTATCCACAGTGAGTTGTTTACTGTCTGAATCTGTTGGTAGTTAAGTTCGTTGTACTACCTAAGGTGTGAACCGTTCATTTCATGAATGAATAATTCAGTAGTGTCTTTGATCGTGAAAGCTCTGTACTGCCTAAACAGAAGAACCTCCAACTCCATGTGAGTGTCCTGTTAAACCCAAGGAGTTTTTCAGATGTATTCTGGAGTTTGCCATCACTCAGATTCCACAGAGGGCAAATATTTAGTCAATTACCTCTGAAGTCTGATCCTGAAATTTTTTGTTTGTTTGTTTTTGTTTTTGTTTTTTTGGCACAGACTAAACCAATAAAAGTGAGTGGTTCAAATCTCGCTCTTATCATGAACATCATTGGTAGAATGTCACATTCACTGACTCACAGGCTGGCGGTGCGATTCCAGCTCCCATAGATAAATGCTGCCCTTGTGTCCTTGGGCAAGACACCCCCTGTCTGCGTACACTAGTGTATGAGTGTGTGGGTAAATGAGTTAGTGAGTGTTTCCTTGATGTACAGAGCTCTGAGTGCCTCGAAGGTGGAAAAGCGCAGTGTGAAAATGTGAGCATTCATCAAGAGAAGTGGCACAGTTGTGTTTCATTAGATTAGCTGCTTTAATATAATATGATTTAATGCAGTCCTCTTACTTCTGATAAACTCCCTCCAATTCCATCCCTTGTTCTGCTCTCCTCTATTCTAAACCCACAGACTGGTGTTCCTCGGTGTTCAGATGACACTTAGCATTCAGCTCTGCTCATGTTTACTCTTCCTTTGAACTGAGTCTGTGCCTCGTCACGATCGAGCTAATTAAACACTCCTCCTGTACACTTCAAAATAGCCGCCCTCGTTCCTCTGTCACTCACAGCAGCAGCAGCAGCATGTGTGGAGCAGTGTGAGGTGTGAGTGCACAGATATAACTCACAGCAGCAGGAGTAACGCCTATAGGGAAACTCACAGACTGTATATATTCCAAAAAGAAAGTGAATATTGGCCACAGAGCAGTGATCGAATCCAAACCAAGCCCGATAGACATTAAGATATTTGTGTTTGGACCAGACCGAACCCAATGACACATGTAGGATATTGTTTGTGCTCCTCTAACGGACACAGAGACGCAAAATACAAACTCAGGATTAAGCGAAAATAATGAAACTTTATTCCTCACCTCTCGTAAAGTGTTAAATTTAAAGTGCAGCGTCTCATCCACATTATCCATAGAACTTGTCCTCCGCAAATAATGACATCCAGTCCACAAAACAGCGCCGTGAATCCAGTTTGAGACGTTCTTTAAAAGTAAAAAGGTGGGAGTAGTTCCTCACGTGTGTCTGTTTACATCCACACAGCGCACAGATCCAGTTGTGATAGTGACTCTACTTCCTGTGGACTTTATTGCTGATCATTTATGCTTTAGAAATCCTGTATGTGAAGTTTTGCACCACATTTCACAAATAATAATAACACAATTTTGACTCGGATCTAAATTAAAAGTGCAGAGCTCTGATCTTTTGAACATTTAAGAGTCTCAAAGTGAGTGGTTTTACTGTAGACAGGAAACAGATCGCGCTGGTAACTTTACACCCAGTGGTCTGCAGACAGATCCCACTGCAGTCTTTAAGTCTCATAAGATTCTCCTCGTGTCTATGATGTGCACTTTTTGTTACATGTTTAAAAATCGTTTAAGACCAAAAAAATGTTTGTTTTTAATTTTGCATTTCTTATCGCGCTGATGTGTCCGAGTCCGACCCGAACTAAACATAAGTTCGAACTATTTGTCCAAGTCCAACTGAGCCCATCAGACTTAACTTGGGTTTCCAGGCTCTAGTGCAGGAGTGTCAAACTCATTTTGGTCCAGGGGTCATATCCAAACTACTTTGATCCCAAAGTGTCCGGATCAGAAAACTCATGTCATATAAACCCCAAAAATAACAATAAGTTCAAATATTTGTGCAGAGAAACACAAATCTATTACAGAAATCTATTTTTAGCTGATGAACTCTTTCTTTTACAAAATATTATAATATTATGAACAACCTGAAACTTTAAGAAAAATGTAATTTCAACACAATGTTTTAACATGAACTTGTGTGTAAACAGGAATAAGTCAATTTTTGTTGTAAAATCCTGCACTCGGCTCCACTTTTCTCATGTTGGACATTTTTCTGATGAGGGTGTCACGGTCAACAGTCAAAACGATCGTCCTTTAAGAGCGTTTGGAAAGAGACAAGTCTTCATTTGTGCTGCTCTGGTGGGAGGGGCCACGTACAGAGACGCTGGAGACGCTGCTGTGATAAACACCACAGAAAATTAACAAGATTTTAATAGAAAATATAATAAAAATATTTTAGTAGAAAATCAGCCGAGGGCCAGATTAAAGGTCTTGGAGGGCCGGATCTGGCCCCAGGGCCGTATGTTTGACACCTGTGCTCTCGTGCATTGTTTCCCAAAGACTGGGTCGTGACCCTCAGGTGGGTCGAAAGAGATTTTATTGGGTCGTCTTGTCACGATCTGCGTGTATCTCTGTAATATACAGTTTTGTCCATGGATCTGTGATCTTATTGAAACCCTAAAATGTTGTTGTTATCAGTCTCTTAAGGCTGTGGGTATCTCGGTTACACTTAGATTTGATAATTGTAATTTCTTGTAGTTTTCCTTGCTAACTAAAAACTAACAGGACAGTGTACAATACGCTTTTATTGAGCAAAACCTCTCTCTCTTCTTCCGCACGCAGTCCACGTCCTCCTCGATCTCAACCCCGGTGCTCTGACCAAACACACTCCACTGAAACAACTCAACTACATAACAAAACCCAACACAATGAAACAATGAACTGTCAATAAAATAAATGCAAAATAATATTAATTAATTATCCAAACAATATATAAAATAATAATCACTCAAATTAATATTAATAAATGAAATAATATCAAAATAAATCAAAGGTTACATTATCATCATTTTGGATCAGCATTTCATCAGAATCTCCTGTCCTCAGTAGGGCCAGTGTTTCTCTGCTTATTCCTTTCACACAAATGAAGACAAAGCACAGAAACAGACTGAACACTGCTCCTGATCTGCTGCTGCGTCTCCTCCTGCACCTGGACTAGAACACGCAACAAAAACACAGACAGGTCCAACTATCTCATTAGAAATGTTTAAATGTTAAGACATGTTTTGTATCATTTCTAAACTTTTTGTAATTATTTGATTGACTATTTTATTCCAATGTTGCTGGTTCAGTTGAATGTTGAAAAGAAAAAGAAATATTGTACATTTAAAGGTTGTATAGAGGATTTTTTAAGGGAAGCGAAATACAGCGACCGTCCTTTTTCAAATGTTGTGCATGTGTGACACCTCCTTCCTCAGCAGAAACATCTCCTCCCGCCTCTTTACTCTAGAAATCACATTTGTTTACATCCAGTGCATGTTCAGAATTACTGTTGAAGTGACCTGCCTCGAAACATTTTAGGACTTCGGACTTTCTTTTGCGGCGAACTGGTCGTGGATTCTCGTCCGCCATCGCAACAAACTTTGTGCGAACTGCGAGGAAGCTACAGTTTGAAAAAGCCTCAAAGAACCGCTGCATAAACCACATAATCCCCGAGCGCCGACGAGTCAGTTACACTAAAAATGTAGGGAGTTTGACTGACAACCTAACAGCCAATAGAAAAAGAGGGAGCCTCGTTTTCTATTGGCTGATGTTTATCTGGCCTCA